TGACAAGGGATTTTTTTTCCTTCTGAGTTGTGAATATTTTCTTGTGTCAGATTCCTAAAAACTCCTAAGAGTCTCTAAGTTCTTACATAACTGTTGGGTAATAAAATTGATTTCTACCCACCACCTAGTTATTTCTGTCTTCTGACTTCAGCTAATTGTCAATATGTCCTTAAACAGATTCACCAAGTTGCTTAAGCCCAGCACTTCATAAGGACTTAAAAGGCTGGCTGTACTCTGGTTTTCTATGAATACTTAACTGCGGCTATGGTCCTACTTGATACCACAGCTCATAGAAGTAGATTGGTACTGAGGCGCCTATTTCCTTTTGACATAGCAATTGTCATTTTGGGGTGATTATAAAAAGCAGAACCTCTTAGTGACTTTGTAGCTAAGTGTGATCTTAAAGTAGCTTTTTGATAGTCTATATACTTCTTGAATTGTATCTTCTGTCAGTGACCATCCTTTACCAGTCTTGTCTAATAATAAGTGTTTATAAAGAGATGCAAAGAAGACATACAAATGGCCAGCAGACACATGAAGAAATGCTCAACATCACTGGGCATCAGGGAAATACAAATCAAAACCTCAATGAGATACCACCTCACACCAGTCAGAATGGCTAAAACTAACAACTCTGGAAACAACAGATGTTGGTGAGGATATGGAGAAAGGGGAACCCTCTTACACTGTTGGTGGGAGTGCAACCTGGTGCAGCCACTCTGGAAAACAGTATGGAGTTTCCTCAAAAAAGTTAAAAATAGAGCTACCTTATGACCCAGCAATTGCACTACTAGATATTTATCCAAAAGATACAAACATAGTGATTCGAAGGGGCACATGCACCCAATGCTTATAGCAACAATGTCCACAATAGCCAAACTATGGAAAGAGCCCAGATGTCCATCAACAGACGAATGGTTAAAGAAGATGTGAGATATATATATAATGGAATATTACTCAGCCATCAATAAGAATGAAATCTTGCCATTTACAATGACATGGATGGAAGTAGAGGGTATTATGCTAAGTGAAATAAATCAGTCAGAGAAAGATAATTATCAGATTATTTCACTCATATGTAGAATTTAAGAAACAAAACAGATGAACATAGGGGAAGAGAAGGAAAAATAAAATAAGATGAAAACAGAGAGGAAGGCAAACTATAAGAGTCACTGAACTCTAGGAAACAAACTGAGGGTTGTTAAGGGGAGGTGGGAGGGGGAAGGGATAATTGGGTGATGGGCTTTAAGGAGGGCACTTGATGTAATGAGCATTGGTGTTATATGCAACTGATGAATCACTAAATTCTACCTCTGAAACTAATTTAAAAAAAAGAAAAAAATAGATACAAAAATTGTTATTTTTAAGAAAAGATTATTGTTGAGCTATAAAATATGTAAGTTGTAGGTTTTATTTATATCTCTCATATGGGGTTTATATGCCATAACCTCCAGTAACATTTTAAAATGTCATATGAACCATTTTTTAAATTATAAAACTGGTAAGTTTTTTAAATCACAGATTGTAGAAGGTCATAGAGTAAAATGTAAAAATTCTCCTTCCCTGTTTCCTAGCCTTCAGTACAACTCTCCAAAAGCAATCACTGTTAACAGTGTCTTAAGTTTCTTTGCATGAATTTTCGAAGCATACACAATTTTACGTATATATGTGCACATACTCATTTTTACATAGTCATACTATATGAACTGTTCTTCATCTTGGTTTTTTTTTTAAGATTTATTTATTTATTTTGGAGAGAAAGAGGGGGGAAGAGAGAGAACAAACTGGGGGGAGGGGCAGAGGGAGAGGGAGAAGACTCCCCATGGAGCAGGGAGCCTGATGTGGGGCTCCATCCCAGGACCCCAGGATCATGACCTGAGCTGAAGGCAGACGCTTAACCAACTGAGCCACCCATGTGCCCCATCTTGGTGTTTTTTTTTTTTTTTTTAATTCACTTAAAATACCAAGACTGTGTCATACTAGCACGACTCAGCTTCATTCTCTTTTAAAACTGCATGGTATTTCATTATATGTAGGTGTGTACCATTATTTATTGATGAGCATATAAGTAATTTCCAATTTATATCTGGTAGTTGTGGAAGTGCAAATAATTACAGATAATGAACATTCTTAGAAATGAAATTACTGAACCAAGGGGTTTCAAATTTTTAAAATTTTGAAGAGATATTTCCAAGTTATCTTGCACATAGTTACACTTCTTTCAATATTATCTGAGACTGTTTCCACATTCTTCTCTATCAGTCTTCTTTTGAGATTTGAAATTTCTGCCATTCTAGTAGTTGAAAATTGTTACTTCTTTTTATTATGCCTTTATTGGATTAGCATGCATTGGGCATTTTTTTTCATAAGACAAATAGTTGTTTTTATATATGTGTGAATTTCCTGTATCTTGTCCTTTGATTATTTTCCCTTGCCATATCCATTTTATGAGAGAAAAAGAAACCCTTTACTAGGATAGACTACCATTTATTTATGTATTTTTCTAATTTTTTTTAGTTCAGCTTTATAATTTTTATTTAATTATTTTTATTTTAATTCCAGTGTAGTTAACATACAGTGTTATATTAGTTTCAGATGTACAATATAGTGATTCAGCAATTCTATACATTACTCGGTGCTCATCATGATAAATGTACTCTTAATCCCCTTCATCTATTTCATCCATCCTCCCACCCACCTCCCCTCTGGTAACCATCAGTTTGTTCTCTATAGTTAAGAGTCTGTTTTTGGTTTGTCTCTTTTTGTTGTTGTTCATTTATTTTGTTTCTTAAATTCCACCTATGAGTGAAATCACATGGTATTTGTCTTTCTGTGACTGACTTATTTCCCTCACCTTTATACTCTCTAGATCCATCTGTGTTGTTGCAAATGGCAAGATTTCACTTTATGACTGAGCAATATCCCACTGTAGACCCATACCACATCTTCTTTATCCATTCATCTATCGATGGACACTTGGACTGCTTCCATAATTTGGCGATTGTAAATAATACTGCAATAAACATAGGTTTGCATATATCTTTTTGAATTAGTGTTTTTGTATTCTTTGGGTAAAAACCTAGTAGTGGAATTACTAGAATTCTACTTTTAATTTTTTGAGGAACCTCTATACTGTTTCTCACACTGGCTGCACCAGTTTGCATTCCCGCAAACAGTGCACAAGGGTTCTTTTTTCTTCACATCCTCACCAACACTTGTTGTTTCTTGTCTTTTTGATTTTAGCCATTCTGACAGGTGTGAGGTGATATCTCATTGTAGTTTTGATTTGTAGTTCCCTGACGATGAGTGATGTTGAGCATCTTTTCATGTGTCTGTTGGTCATCTATATGTCTTCTTTGGAGAAATGTCTGTTCATGTCTTCTGCCCGTTTTTAATTGGATTATTTGGGATTTTTTTGGGTGTTGAGTTGTATAAGTTCTTTATGTATTTTGGATACTAACCCTTTATCAGATATGTCATTTACAAATATCTTCTCCCATTCCGTAGGTTGTCTTTTAGTTCTGTTGATTGTTTGCTATGCAGAAGCTTTTTATTTTGATGTAGTCCCAACAATTTATCTTTTATTTTATTTCCCTTGCCTCAGGAGACATATTTAGAAAAATGTTGCTATGGCCAATGTCAGAGAAATTACTGGGATAGGTTACCTTTTAATAGATAACCTACCAACAGTTCTCAGGAAACCATAAATCTATGTATTCCACACATGATCACCTGTACAAACACTAACTCACTTAGAGGCCTAAAAGAAAGCCCAAAAGAAAAAGTGTCTGAGAAGAGAAAGAAAACAGTCTATCTGGAGATAGATGTGGGGACTGGCCTCACGCTTTCTATTACTTTTCTATTGCTATAAAAAATATGACCATTAATTTAACAGCTCCCAGTTCCTGTGATGGAAGTCCAGGCACAGCATGACTGGCTTTTTACTCAGGTCCCACAGAGCTAAAATAAAGTTGGTCAGCTGTGCTCAGTATTCTCTTCTAAGTTGATCTGGTTGTGGCAGAATTCAGCTCCTTGTAACTGTAGGACTAAAGTCCTGGTTTCCTTGCTGCTTATTAACTGGGGGCCACTCTCTGCATCTAGAGGCAGCCTATGTTCCTTATCACAGAGACTCTCCCATCTCCAGAGTCAGCCAAGGACAGCTTCCCTTGTGTTAAAACTTTCTCATGCTTCCAATCTTTCTGACTTCCAGACCCAGATCTGAGGAGTTCATGAGACTAGAAAGCCCAACCAGGTAATCTACCTATCTTAGGGTCAACTGATTTGGAACAAAACAGAATGGCAAAGACCCTCAACAGTGGCACCTAAATTAGTGTTCTGTTAATTAACTGGGAGGAGGTGTATGTATGCAAGGGGTCAGGAATCTGGGGGGTCATCATAGCATTCTGCCCACCTCAACCCCCACCTGCCTTCCTCAAGGGAAGCAGACAGAAGTCATGTCTGTTGGCTGAGGACACCAATCCTACTGAAACATTAGATGCCAGAGAAAGGGAGCAGGACAGGAATCCATCTAACCTCATGCACAACAAAGTCCCACCCATGCGGGTCAAACATCTTGATATGAGCAATGAAACAGCAGAAAGCTGCAGAGATAATCTCAGAAACCACACATACAATGTAAGGGTCGGGCAGGCCTTCCTGACCAAGGATCCAAACCTGGCATTTTCTGACTCCACAATCTCTGCCTTCTTGACCCCTACGCTGTGACCCACCAGAGGACAGGTCATTCATTGGCTGTACAAATAGATTTTGAGTCCTCTGACCTCACTGTTTCTTCTTATGCCAGTGTGATCAGAGTGTGCTTTTGTGAGTTGTTGGCCTTGGGTGTTCAGTAGAACAGAATGAACTGACCGCAACCTAAGTAGGTAAGCCACTAAGGGGAACCGTAGTGATGAGCATTATTCTAAAAGAATTCTAAAAACCCTCTCTCCCCTCCCTCCATCTCTTTCTCTTTCATATTCCCACCTGCTGCTGTGCTTCAGGCGCATCATACATGACCTGCTTGAGACAGAAGAGATTTATATAAAAGAGATTAAGAGCATAATTGATGTAAGTAGACTTGGATAGTGGACATTAAGCATGTATTCAAATTAGAGAAGTTCTGTTGCACAAAGAGACTTAAAATAGTTGCCGTATGTCTCTAGAATTTCCACCAAGAGTTCAGGTCTTATAATATCACAAGTATCTTTCCAATAGGAATAAGAACTAGTGATCCGTGTAACTAAATAACTTCCAAAGGATTGTATCAATTCATACTGATTTTAGCAGGGCCCAGTAGGTTCACCCTATGGTTGCCAACACTGGACACGATAATTTGAATATTTTTGATAATTTAATAAGGGAGAATTGTTTCAAGTAGGATTTTTTGCTTGAGAGTGAAAATTTGAATTTTTCCAATTTTCCTAAGAAAATAATCTGAGAAATAAATGATCTGTACAAAGTTATAATAGAATTTTTATAATAAAATATCAGAAGAAAATAAAATCTCCAATAAAAAAGGGGATGTTAATAAAGTCTGATATTCATGCTGAATGAAATATTATTCAACCGTTACAAAATATTTTGAATAATATGTAGCAATGTTGAAAAATGCTTATAAGATTAAACTAAAAACAGTATTAAATAAGCTTTTAAAAAGTCACGAGGGAAATATAATAAAACAGTAGTAATTGCATTTGGTTGTAAAATGAGAGATAAGTTTTTTGCTTTCACGCTTGACTTGTATAACATAAACATTTAAAAAATATATTTGTTCTTTCTATAAAGTGCCATTTTATTATCATTGCCATTTAAATTTAACCACCTTCTTCTGAAGATGGACACATGAAGGGAATAATATATATCAAAAGAAAGTATTTGATGAAATGGTTTTCGGGAAATAAGTGTGCCATATTTCCCAGTTATTAAAGTTTTCGTCCCTAGAGTAGCTAATTCAGATCATCTCTTAAATGTTCTTATCTGTAAAACCTACCTTGTTTTCACCTTTGCAGGGATATATCACTCCAATGGATTTTATTTGGCTGAAGCATCTGATTCCAGACGTTCTTCAGAATAACAAGGAGTTTCTCTTCGGGAATATTAGAGAACTTTATGAATTTCACAACAGGTATATCATAATTCAAACTATCAGGAAAAATGGAAAGTAAAAGAAAAACGGAAATCAGACTGATGGGATTTGGAGATGAACATGTGTAGAGATTGCCAGGCTTAAGCAAGTAGTCCAGAGTCGGTGGACCTGGTTGGGATGGGATGGGATAAGAAGGAGGGGAGAAGTGCCACAGATCTCTGAGGGAGAAGGGGAAAGGCATCAATGGAGCGTGTCAGGCATTAATGTTATATTTTCTGTGTGTTCCTTTGCTTATTTATCTATTCATGTATCTGCCTTTATTGAGGACCTGTTCTGTGTCAGGCACTGTGTTCAGCGTTGGGAATACAAAGATCACCAAGACACACGTCCACATACCTACTATCATCAAGTAGTGCTGGGAGCTAGGGTGTTGGAAAATGCTAACTGGTCAGACAAGTTGTCCTTTTAGCCCAGGGCTGCTTGGGTGTTGAGTTCTAGAGAATTAGAGGAGGAAGGGACTTTGGAGATCATCTTCCAAGCCTTTCATTTCACAGATGAACCTGCAGCTCGTTTCCTCTCTTTACTCAGTATAACAACCCCAAATCACACATGTAATTGATGGGAAAGAAGAGACTCCTTGGTGAATTGACCCACAGTTGTTTTCCCAACCCTGTCTCTTGTCCATTGGTCAGACACACAACTGAAATGGAAATCCCATTTCTGCTACCTTCCCTGGAGAAGTTATTCAACCTCTTCCATGCCTTGGGTTTCACGTTTATGAGACCCTACCTTACTAGGTTCGGTGGAGGATTAAATGAGATATTGTTTATGAAGTACTTAGCTTATGCCTGGCTTGCCTCAAGCCCTCAGTGATATTAGCAGTAGACACAGCAACAGCAGTTCATGTTCATGTGATTCTCATGTAGCAGGGAGCATCAGCGCATCTTGTTGGTCTACAGCTAGTGCCTAGAATTATCAGGACAAGCTGTGGTTGGCTTCAAGGAATCCTAGTAATGTCACAGAATGTTTTTTTCTTCCAAATCGGTATGTTGAAGATGAGTCAAGAGCAATAAAGCCTGGAAAACAGCATTTTTCTGAGCACCTCTTAAAATCTTATGTGATTTTACTTAAGAAAAAACCTTATGTGTTTTAACCTCATCCATGTAAAAAATCAAAATGTGATTATACTTTTCCTTCCCTAGGACTTTTCTAAAAGAATTAGAAAAGTGCACCGAAAACCCTGAACTTCTGGCACGCTGCTTTCTCAAGAGAGTAAGTCTCTGCTCCCAGTAGCTCAGAATAACCATGGGATTAAAGTTAGCCCTTAATTTTCTGTGTGAGGGGCAAGGGCAAATGGGAACACCAAAGGTCTGAAAAATTACACATACCTTTTGAGTGCAAAGCAGGAGTCCTTTGTAATATGTCACCCAGCATGAGATGAGGCCAGTTTGACTAGGCTCATATGACAGATGGGAGCAACTTACAAGCTTGGCCTCCTGCAAAGCCCAGTGACATGGAGGACCGGCCCCCCCAAAACAGATGATCCTCCTCTGAGTGACTAAGCTAACTGGTTTTTTTTTGTTTCTTTTTTTTTTTTTTTTTTGAGCCGAAGGCAGCCACCTAATGACTGAGCCACCCAGGCACCCAAGCTAACTGTTTTCGAACAAGAATCACACAGCAGGCTGAAATTCCTCACTAAAGTTGTATTAACACTCTCAAGAGAAGAAGTACTGATGCTAAACTAAAAGTCTCAGAAAATGTCTTTTCTTCCATTTTATTTCTTTACAGCATAGAGGATTGTTAGAATATGTTAAATCTGTGGTCCCTCTTTTTTTTTTTTTTTTTTTTACTTTTCAGTTTGGAACTTATTTATTTTTTAAGATTTTATTTATTTATTTGACAGAGAGAGAGCGCAAGCAGGGGAAGCGGCAGGCAGAGGGAGAGGGAGAAGCAGGCTCCCTGCCGGGCAGGGAACCCAGACATGGTGCAGTTTCAATCCCAGCACCCTGGGATCATGACCTTAAGCCGAAGGCAGACACTTATCTGACTGAGCCACGAGGCACCCCTTTATTTTTTATTCTTAATGAAAAAATAACTTTGGAGCATATTCCAAAGCTTATTTTTTAAAATTTTATTTAAATTCGATTAATTAACATATAGTATATTATTAGTTCCAGAGGTAGAGTTCAGTGTCTATGGTCCCTCTTCTGCTTAGTACCCCATTTATGATTTCCTGCCCTACACCACCATCTCTGACTGCTTCCCCTTCTCCGTGCGCAGATCTCTTCCTTCTTGCCCTCTCTGCACCCCTGCTTTGGGCAGTGAATAGGCTGTTTGGGCCTATTGAGTCGGTACAGAGACATGTATTACCTAGCACCGCTCCCCACCAAGCACTTTCTTCCCTTGGGAGGACTATGCAGAGGATCCTCGTGCCCTGGACTTTCTAAGTCTTTTGCATTTCTCCTCTCTCAACTAGCTCTTCTTTTCATTCTCTTCCTTCTTTTTCTTTTTGTGAGCCTGAGACAACAGATGAAACAACTTGAACATTTTAAACAACCCAAATTAAGGCTGATAAGTCTAAGAGCAGTACGTGTGATAAACTGAGAGCAAGCAAACACAAATCCCCAGGTTTTAAGGCATTTGACATAATGGAGAAACAAGAGCCTTCAACCCTCAGAACTCTTGCCAGCTTAGAAAGCCTTTTCCACAGTCTGTATGGGCTTTTCCACCACAACCTCATCATAGGTTTTTTGTCAAGTGCCAAAATTCAAGGTACACTGAAAACTATGTTGTATTTAATCTAATTAATTTCCGTTTTGAATTACTTTATAGCATTATTCGTGTTTTGTACTACTTTTTAATTTTGTACTCATCAAGCCACCAACGTGAAGTCTACTTTCAGAGCTTAGAAATATTTTATAATTGCTTATGTCAGTATTGCAAAGACTTATTTAAATTGTTGGATGAGAAAAGGACTGAACTCCTGTGGGGAAAAAATGGATATGATAAAAAAAAAAAAAAATTGTCCCAGTGTAAGGCAATGGTTAGGGAATTGCTGACAAAACATCTTGTCCTAGAAGAATTCCTCACCTAAAGTTTTGCAAAGCCTCCTATAGTCCCCCATGTTGGGAGAAACCCGAGAAATCATGCTCCAGACCTGCATATAAACACTGCATATAATCCTATGTGATTTATGATGTTGGAGACAGAGTACAGGTAATAAATTGTTCTCCGTCATAAAATTATTAGTCTGGGGCAGATGGAGTAATTAAAAACCATGATTAGGTAATCTTTGAGGCTCCTTGAGGGAACTGGCTGTTGCTGTGTATTTGTTGGCCAATGAGGCGGGCCCCTCACCCATTATCTACTACGACCGTTGACCTTTTCTCAATAATATTTGCAGAATTCCATTACTCATGAAAATGAGTTTTGAAATATTGCTCTGGCCAAATGTTTTCATCAGACTCTATAGTCTGCAGAATCCAGGAAGATTCTGCCCCAGAGACCAGGCTCTACGTAGAATAATATTTGTCAGTAGTCTACTTTGAGTTCCATTAGCTCTGAGATGTGACAAGGCAAAATGGGAAGAGCCCTGGGACTCAGGAAATGTAACTTCTTGCCAAGTTGAGCCACTTGCTATCAGCGTGACTTCATGTTAAGTTGCTTAAACCCCCGGAGTCTCACTTCCCTCCTCCATACAATATGTAAAGTCGTTGTGGAAATCTAGTAAAATAGTGTATGCAGAAGGGTTTTACAAAATAAAAAATGCCTTGTCAATAGCTACCATATATTGGGTGCTCCGTATGTATTGGGCATTTGTTGAGAAGTTTCTATACATCGTCTCATTTAATCTCACAGTAGTCCTAGTTGACTGTTGTGAACCCACTGAATAGATGAGAAAACTGAAGTATAGGGAGGTTAAGTAACTGAACTTGGGCCATTTGGTTTGGAACTGACAAAGTCAAGAACTGAACCTGGACCATCCACCACCAGAGCCCACCATCCTAATGCATAAACGATCATATCTGAATAGGAGCTTTTGGTAGCATTTATTTTTTTAGCCTCCTGATTTATTCTATAAGCAGGTGAAGATAGTTGGGCACTTTCATATGTTGCTGGTCAGTGTGTATCCTTTCTTTAAGGAATTTTGGATTGAAGAGCAAATGTAGGTCAACGGTCGTGTTTTGGTGCTTGAAGGCCTATGGTGTTCTGCATTGCTCAAAGCGTAGACGTAGTACCAAGGAGTGAGGGTTTGAGGAGCACACGTTTCAGCTCAGCATCCCTCGAGAGAACCATGCGCCTCTGGTGCTGGGAAAGTTTGGGGAAAGGTGGCTGACTGTTGAGGATGTTTCACTGGGTGGGAGGATCTCCTCCAACTTTTATATAATCTTCCGGTGGTTAGTGTTGAAAGCCCTGAAACCTTGAATTCTTTTAGGAGCTAAAGGCCAATGTTTTTGTGCTCTGACAGACCCAATGTGGGTGAGATGCCGCATCAATTTGTATTATTTTATAAGCCTGGCCTGCGGTACGGCAGGAGTGTTGCCTGCGTGTGGGCGGCTCTGCTGTGGAAGCTGTTGCGTTTAACAAGTGTACTTAGCACGGTGCCTGGCACATCAAAGTCACACAGGAGATAGTTCTTGAATGAATAAATAATGAACATATTGTTAAGCTCTGAGTTATTATTCTAGTTCCGTAACCTGTCTGAAGAACATTTCTCAAGAGCCATCTCCCTTCCTTCCACAAGCAGAAATGGAAAGAAATAGACATAGTTGAAGCTGTGAGGAAAACAGTGACCTATGTCCACATGAAGGTCATCAAGAGTTGGCCTGAGAGGGGCGCCTGGGTGGCTCAGTCGTTAAGCGTCTGCCTTTGGCTCAGGTCATGATCCCGGGGTCCTGGGATCGAGCCCCGCATTGGGCTCCCTGCTCGGCGGGGAGCCTGCTTCTCCCTCTCTCACTCACCCTGCTTGTGTTCCCTCTCTCGCTATCTCTCTCTCTCTCTGTCAAAAAATAAATAAAAACTTAAAAAAAAAAAAAAGAGTTGGCCTGAGAAAGATAGGGACACGGAAATCCACCAGGATGCAGCCCCGTGGGCTTCCCCACCCCTCCCACCCCCAGACAGCACAGGCTCTGTGGCCAGCATAGCTGGAGTGGTCCAGGTGCGTGTGACAGAGTGGATGAAGCTGGCAAGCTGACTCCATAGGCTGGGACCAACCTTTCCGGGGTACTGGTGGGTATGTGCCCACCTCTCATGGTCTTTGATGCAATGAGAAATAGGTCACACAGCACTTGGAATCTGTCTTGATCTCTAGCTCTGAGATAGTCATATAATGTTTCCTGTCTTGGAGTCTGGTGCTGTAGGTGGAAAGGGATGTCTGAGGCAGAGCCTGCTGCTTTGGGGGTTGCCCAAAGGACTTAGAGCTGGGTTGTTTTCTCCAAGCTGCCACATTTTCCTTTTGGGGTGTTTCTATCTTTTGGTTGTCTCTTGGTTTATTTTCTGCAGTTGGCATCACGATGATCAAAATAGGAATATAGGGAGAGAGAGAGGAGGGGCCATCAGCTACCAGCACCTTTTCTGTCAATTTTGTCCCTCACTGCAGAGCTACTCTGGGGAGACAGTGATGTCCTGGATAAAGAACAGAGGAGGAAGGATGAAGATTAAAACCTGCTCCTATTCATGAATTTACGGATTTATCAGAATCCTGTAGTTGTTTCCACAGCACTCTGTTCGTATCTGTGTTTAGTACTTACGGTTGTTTAGAACCCTCTATTTACCTTCCCATCACACAGTCACCCCAACATGAGGTTATTGTGCATCCCCAGTTCTTGACACCGTGAAAAGACTCAGGCTTATTGAATATTTGAATGAATAAACAGTATCATCCTGTCCACTTATTGAAAAATGCTACCTGATTAATTTGTTCCAATTCTTTTCCCACTCAGAAAGAAGATCTTCAAATATATTTTAAGTACCATAAGAATCTGCCCCGAGCTAGGGCAATCTGGCAAGAATGTCAAGACTGCACCTTCTTTGGGGTAATGTTGAGATCACAAAGTCTCGCACAAATGGTTTTCCCTGGACAATGTTTATGTGTGCCAAGTCTTTAAAGAAATCAGAAGTATGAACGAGGCAGGGGAATCTGGCATTTGAATTTATGTTTATTAAAAGTCCTATTTTGAGATGACACGTTGGAAGTTTTGATGTGGCCCTGGGTCTCTATGGGACAGGCCTGTGAGGAGCAGCTCTAGCCTGGTGAGGAAACCAGAGTCCTTGTCTAGGATGGGGAATTTTTAAAAGGAATTAAATCCAAAAGGCCACATTCTGGGGCTCCTTGGAATGATATTAGTGAGTCATCATGCAACTTCTAGACTCAAAATGACCTGAATAGACACAACTCAAAGACAAGCTGCCTTTTTCAGGATTTGAGGTACCCCACTGTCTTCCAGTGGACTTGCTTTCTAAAAGAAGTAAATGGTCCTGCTCCCCTAGCTGCATCTAGAATTACTAGCCCAGCCATCCTCTTTCCCCTTTCTCTCATTTGACACATTATTCCTAAGGCACCCAACGACTCAGTAACATTACTAAGTTGGTCAACACAGCTGCACCTCTTCCCCGCGCCACCCCCACCCCCACCCCCCACCCCCCCGCCAAAAGCCTGTTTCATTTCTTGTATTCAAGTGCTGCCTCTTTGTTCTCTCCGTGTGTTGTTGCTTTTGTTTTACATTTGTTTCTGTCTGGCTTTTAAAGGTATGCCAGCGCCAACTGGATCACAATCTCCCTCTTTTTAAGTATCTCCGAGGACCAAGCCAGAGACTTATAAAATACCAGATGCTGTTGAAGGTAAAGTCGATGAGACAGTGCTTTCCTGTGCTGGGAAAACACGCGTGTGCTATGATGCTCTTTTCCTTAGGCATGCAGAGCTGTGACTTCGTCTCTTCAAAGGAGAAGAAGATATGTGTCTCCTTTAGGCTTTTTCTGTCCTCCAAGTCCAAAGCAGGGTACCTCAGTGAGGAGAAGGACCAAAGAGTCAGAGAGTTGAAAGGGACCTGGAAGCCTGGCTGGTCCAACATGCGGCCTAGGGCATGGATCTCTCAGGAGGCTGGTTTGGGGCAGGAGAGGTCCTGGGGAGCAAAAGGAGAAAGGGGAACGCCACCACATTGCTGGCAACTGAGAGGGCGGGGAGGCAGCCAGAGCCTGTCCTCTCATATAAGGTATCTACAGGTAAGATATCATCTGCTCCACCTTACAGATGAGGCAAGGAGCTTCAGAAAAGAGGTGTGATGTTCCCCGAAGTCAAGATTTTCTGTGCATTAAAACAATGGAAGGCAGAAGGCAAAACTGGAGTCTTTTCTCCTTTTACAACATCTACCTCCATCCCTCGATTAAGGATCTTTCTCAAGAGCAGCATCGTAGAGGGAATTTTGCTCTGCTGAACCCCTCGGTGGTCCGTGCTCTGTCTGCCGACAGCACACGTACAGGATAGCAGTCCCAGACACCCCAAACGGGAGACAAGGCCCTGTCAGGCTGCCCCCCCGCCTGTGAGCTGAGGGAAAGGTTTGGCCCCTTCTCCAACTTGTGTTTTGAGTTAACCTGTATAAGCAGCTCTTGCCCAGTGGCTACTATCTCTCAAAACAACAACAACAACAACAACAACAATGAAAAACAAAAAACACAAGCACCTGCTGTTTACTGGGGACCTTCCCATATGTATTTCTTTTTTTTAAAGATTTTATTTATTTATTTGACAGAGAGAGACACAGCGAATGAGGGAACACAAGCAGGGGGAGTGGAAGAGGGAGAAGCAGGCTTCCCGCCGAGCAGGGAGCCCGATGCTGGGCTCGATCCCAGGACCCTGGGATCATGACCCGAGCCGAAGGCAGACGCTTAACGACTGAGCCACCCAGGCGCCCCCCCCCCATATGTATTTCTTATTTAATCCCCACAATCAGACACACCAGAAAGACTCTGGAGTGTGAAGAAACTGAGGCTCGGGGAGCTTAAGCTCATTGCCTAACATTCCGCCCTCAGAAAAAGCTGCCCCTTTCTGCTTTGCCTCAGCAGTCCCAGCCTCAGCCGGACCGGCCGTGCCATCAGCACGTGCGGCATTCCTGGACGTTTTAGGCCTTGGTGTTCTCACGTGTCGGCTGGGGATACTAGAACCTCCTCCAGAGGATTGCTGTGAGGAGCCAGTGGGTAATGCCTGTAGAGAACTCGCTCAGGGCTGACCCCCAGGAAGCTTCCGTTGTTTTATCCATAGAGATGCCACAGCAGTGTGGGAACGGGGATGAGCCCCCACTGCTTCCCTCCACCAGGGGCATCTGTGAGTGTGTTTCCATACAGTGCTCAGGTAGACCCTCACACTCCTCTGACCAACCCACCTTTACTGTCATCCGAGCTGGACGAGTCCTACCCAGTGAACAAGGAGCAGGACGAGTGGGGGTCTTCACCACCTCGGTCTGGGTCCGTCGGGTACTGAAATGCCCGAGTTTTCCCACAGAAGCGATGTTGCTAATCACTGCTACGGGCGCAGTGATTAGAAACCCAGCCCGAGGAGTTAGCCATCCGGGGTGTGGATCCAGCTCAGCCGCTTCCAGACTGCATGAACTCAGGCAAATTACTTAACCTCTCTCTGCCCCAGGTGCCTCAGCTGTGAAGTGAAGGTAGTACTAGTCCTTTCCTGGTATGCTTTTTGGGAGCATAAACGAGGTAACACATGTTAAAAGTAATTAGGGAATTTTGTTAGTTTCATGTCACTCAGGAAACGAGACAGAATCACTATAAAATATTCCTCGGGGATCTGTGTGAAACAATGAGAGGCTATTCAGGGCAAACCAGTTTTTCCCATAGCTAAGCTTGCTGCATGCTGGAAAAACAAGTCCAAACCACTGGCACGCCTGTGAAGAAAGGAAGAACTTTGTAGTGTTCTCCACCCTGAGGGACAGAGCTCATTCTGCAGGGCCTACCATCAGCTTCTTTGGGAGCATGGGTGTCTGACTGATGGCCTCATGGCTTAGAAAGGATGGTGGAATCCTGGTGTGAGAAGGCTTTTTCCGAGTACAAAAGAAAGGGAAGGGAATGATAGATTATGCCATTAAAAACAGACACATGAAAAATTGGGTGAAATATAATATTAGCAAGATACGGGACAGATCTTAATAATGAGCTCATAGAAGTTAATAATTTTGAAAAACAAAACAAAAAGAAATGATACCTATGAAATGCTTCGTATCTTTTCTGAGATATTATGAAAATTAACAGTTGTGACAGAGTTTTTTGAATACATAATGTACATAATGTCTAATGAGTCATGGCAAGCTGATTAAACAATGTATTATTTATTAGCATATATTAGAAATAGATGCATTTAGGGACAACATGAATTCACTTTTATTGAGGTCATGATTTATGTCAAAGAGGCTAAGTGATGTATGGAAACTATCAAATTTATTTATTTTTTTAAGATTTTATTTATTTATTAGAGAGAGAAAGAGCCAAGCAGGGGGAGGGGCAGAGGGAGAAGCAGACTCCCCGCTGAGCAGGGAGCCCGATGCAGGGCTCGATCCCAGGACCCTGGGGTCATGACCTGAGCTGAAGGCAGACACTTAACATGACCTGAGCCGAAGGCACCCCAAAACTATCAAATTTAATGTAGAGAATTTTTCTTACCTGGATTTTAAGATGTGATTTGGAAAATGGTGCATTATTTGTTTATAATAAATTTTGCTTATTATAGGAAGGATGTTCTAGAATAGGTGGTTATGCTGATTTCCTGTGTAATGCGACTCATGTCATAGGAGTGATATTCATTTTTCTTCTTTTAAAAAAATGAAAGACTACTATTAGAAAAAAGAATTAATAGGGAGAGGTTGGTAAAAGGATATAAACTTTCAGTTTACAAGATGAATAAGGTGTGAGGATCTGATGTAAAACATGGTGACTGTCGATAACAGTGTATAATATAATTGAAATTTTCTAAGAGTGGGACTTAAATGTTCTTGACAAAAAAAAAAAGATAAATATGTGAAGTAATGATGTGTTAATTAACTAGATGGAAGAAATCCTTTTATAATATATACATATATCAAATCATCACCATATACATTTTGAATACATTTGAATTGGCATATACAATTTTATATGCCAATTATACCTCAAAGGTGAAATAAAAAGAAAATAATTAAAAAATAAATGGAGGACATAGGCAGTTTACAAAAGAATAAATGTTAATAGCAAAAATTTTTGTTTTGAAAGTTCTACCTCACCAGTTATTTGAGAAATTCAAATTAAAACAACAGTGAGGTAGGATTTCTCTGTTGATTGAATTGGCAAAACTTTTTGATTAAATGTTAATACTCCATGTAGGGTGGGGGCTGGTGAAATAAACTTTCATATATGACTGATGGGAACATAGTCCTTCTGTAAAGAACTTGGAAGTATGCATCAGAATTTTTAACATTGGGGCGCCTGTGTGGCTCAGTTGGTTAAGCATCCAACTCTCGATTTCAGCTCAGGTCATGATCTTAGGGTCTTGAGATCAAGCCCCACATTGGGCTCCATGCTCAGCACAGAGTCTACTTGTCCCTCTCCCTCTGCTTCCCACCCCCCACAAATAAATAAAATCTTTAAAAAAAAAAAAAAGAACTTTTAACATTGACAATTTCACTTCTAGGAACTTATCCTTAGGAAAAAAGCACAAAGATCATTATTATTATTGTAAAAAATTATTGAACCTAAATGTTTAAAAGTAGGGGGGATTAATGAATTATGATTTATCTACAGGATGCAACACTGCTACAATTAAAAAACTTGTTTTAAAACATAATGTCATGGGGCTCCTTGGTGGCTCAGTCGTTAAGCGTCTGCCTTCGGCTCAGGTCATAATCCCAGGGTCCTGGGATCGAGTCCCCCATCGGGCTCCCTGCTCGGCAGGAAGCCCTCTTCTCCCTCTCCCACTCCCCCTGCTTGTGTTCCTGCTCTCGCTATCTCTCTGTCAAATAAATAAATAAAATCTTTAAAAATAAATAAATAAAAAAATAAAACATAATGTCATGGAAAAATGTTCATGATACATTGTTGAGTGAGAAAAAACAGGCTACAAAACAGTGTGTCCAATATAATTCTGTTTGTGGAAAGTACAACCTCTGTTAATTTAGCATTGGCTGGAGATAGCACAGTAGATTTTGTTGGCATTCTACTTTTTGATTTCCAATAAGACTTCTGGGTTAATGCAGGGTCTGCTGGATTTTGAGTCTCCTGAGGATTTGGGGATAGACTCCGGTGACCAAGAAGGAGGCTTGGCTAAGGTACTCTATATAAATATTGTTTTATATAACTAACTGTTAATGGTGTTTATCTATGTGTGGGCAGATTTATAGCAATTTTGTTTTTCTTGTTTATGATCTTTATTATTTAAATTTTCTAAAATAGCATGTATCTTATAATTTGTAGTCACAGAAAAAACAAAAAAATTAAAGGCAATTTCAAAGTGAGGTTTTGTAACAGGATAACTAGTAATATATTTATTTTCCTCTACATAAAAATGTTTTAACAGGAATACAAAATTAAGTGAATGTGTAAAATGCTTACATAAAAGACTGGAAGTAAATATGATAAAATCTCTGCTGTGGTTTTCCTGCAGGGTAGGATTATGTATGATTTATATTTACTTGTTTGTACTTCGTAGTATTTCTGATTTGCATACATTATGCCCTGTTCACCTCTAAGTGTGTTTGTGGGTGTGAATTCTAAGACAGCCAAGGTTCCCTCGGAAGAAATGGTGACCATACCGTACTGGGAAGAAATCTGTGACTTAGGAGTGGGGTTTCTTTTAAATTTTCTATAGAATATTCTAATTTTAACAAGAAAAACATGAGGAGCAGTCCTTCTCTGCTCAGTATATATGGTAGGGACTCCTTGAAATTAAGAGAAGCTCAAGACACAGGTAATATAGCCTGGAGCAAGGGGAGCTAGGCTGAGTTAGTTTAATAATGTTTGTAAGGATGTTTCTGAGCCCTGCATTACACAATGTAAAAGTAGCTACCTGCTATGTTTATGGGAGGAGGGTTAGTGGGAAGGAGAGAGAATTGGAACAGTTGAGTCTCTAAAAGGAAGTTGCGTTTTAAGCATTGGGTAAAGAGGAAGACCCCTGGTGTAAGAATGTAATCCTTTATTGATATATTACAAAAAACTCAGGTGAGAGAGTCTGTTGTCTTCTCCCAGCACCTGGAGCATGTTTATATGAGTGAGAGGGTAAGAATCCATGGCAGATTGTTGAGTGGAAGCAGCGTGTTCCCTCCCATTCATCGGCCCTGTCACTCATATCTCTGATCCAAAGAAGCTAATCCTCAGTGCTTAGGCAGAGATCAGGAGAACACACAAACCTTTGCTTACATCACACGTAGAGGACAAAAAGAGATGGGACTATACAGGGAGGGGAGGGGTGGCAAAGAGCTGTCTGTTTTTTGTTATAGAAATTGATATGTTAAAAAGAAAAAAAAAGGAAGAAGCCAAAATTTTTTTGTTGGTATTTACCATAGAACAGATAAATATGCCACGTAGGTAGCAGGGGAATAAAATACTGGAACTGTAAGCAAAAGACTTGCACACTGAAACAATCATCCCTATTATGTCCTAAGTGTCTCAGTAGTAATAATTGGAACATTGGTCTCTTGAATTAGCAGTTATAGTGTTTGCCCTCAATGCTGAGTCTTCCTGTCTGGGAGGTGCAGACCTTGTTGGCTTATCTCTTTGATGTCTTTAATGGTGATAGAATGTGAGAAAGACTGGGGAAGGAGAAGAGGGAGGAAGGGCAGAGCTGGGGCGGGGTGTGGGGATTCGAGGTGGCAAATTCAACAGGCATTTACATGTAAATCATGAGTAAACCTCCACATGGAAGCTCATTCTCTGCTTCTATAGGAGATTACAAATATCCTCCCTGCGATGGTTTTAAGTATAATTTTACCCATAAGAATAGGACTTTCACATTACATTCAGGAATATGATACTCAGATATTACTTTTCAATAGGCTCCTGGGCTAGGGGTGTAAAAAGGAAGAGCAGCCTATTTAAAGGGTCTGGGTTTTCCATGCTTTAAAGAAGGTCAGTATGTTTCTTATGCAGCATGATGTCCATGATTTTATGAACTCCATTCTTCATGAGTGCCATGTACAGAAGGTGTGGTCGATGATTTTGCTAGTGTGTATATCATATATGTAAACCAGCAAGTATCTTTAGCCACCATTCTTTGGGAGCAGGGCAAGAGATCCATGTATCCACCTTCTCCGTCTCTGTGCTGGCTGGATCCATGGCTCCTTATTTCTGTCCTGTTTCCCTGGTTCACTTGGTTAGATGGTTTACCTTTTGATTTCCAACAAGGCATTTGGTTTCCGCAGAATGGGCCAAAGAGGACCAAGGATTCCGCATTCTCAGCTGAACTACAGCAAGCTTTGGCCATGATGGAGGATTTGATCAAGTCCTGTGAGTTGGCTGTGGACCTGGCAGCAGTCACTGGATGTCCGGTATGGGCTGTAGCAAGTGTGGGAACAGTTCAGCAAAGGGCAGGCACAATATTACAAAGGTAGGAGATGCTGTGGCAAAGGTAGAGAGGTGACCCGTGGTGAAGGAATCTGACTCTGAGGAAAGTAGCCTAAATTGTGCAGCAAATCTGTGCTGTGGGAATCCAGGCAGCCTCTCAGCATTTTCAGGAGTCTTGGGTTTGATTCCTTGGGGTCCTGAATGTTGAGACTGACCCACACTCTGGAACGACCAGGAACTCAGAGGCCAGAACATAGATGGGCAGAGGAAGGTACTGAAGGAGTAATTTATTCTCTGACTCATGGCACTATTAAAAAATTGAAAGATTTTCCTTCTTGCCTCAGATTTTCTCTGTGCAAAGTCCTTTGAAAATGGGTCCTAAGTGAAAGTCTAACTCCATTTTTATGTCATAGATCTCAGAAGAGGACCAACAAGAATATATCGTATATGCTGTAATCCAAATGGTTGAAGAAAAATACCAGAAGAGGCAGTGCTAGGGAGTTGAGCCCTCTCAACACGGGCATGAGGGTAAATTCTGAGCGGGTCAGTCCCAGGAATTCTAGGCAGGCCACCCTCTGGAACCAGATGAGCTAGCTCCTTGGGACTGGAACATCATTACTATTCAGCTGGGTTTCACTGGGGGGTGCTCTAGATCTTGACTCAGGTGGATTAGTTTTTCATCTTTGTCATAACAAATTACCACAACCTTAGTGGCTTAGAGCAGCACAAATGTATTATATTATAGTTCCACTGGTCAGAAATATAACACAGTCTCACTAGGCTAAAATCAAGGTGTCTGCTTTCCTTTTTTTTTTTTTTTTTAAAGATTTTATTTATTCATTTGACAGAGAGCGAGAGTAGGAACACAAGCAGGGGGAGTGGGAGAGGGAGAAGCAGACTTCCCGCTGAGCAGGGAGCCCAATGCAGGACTCAATCCCAGGACCCTGGGATCATGACCTGAGCCAAAGGCAGACGCTTAACGACTGAGCCACCCAGGCACCCTGTCTGCTTTCCTTTTGGGAGACTCTGGGAGAGAATCTGTTTCCTTGCCTTGTCCAGCTTACCAAGGCACCACACATCCCCTGGCTCATGGTTTCTCCTTCCATTGTCAAAGTTCTTCTTGACTCACATCATCCTGACCTTCTCTTCTGCTTCTCTTCCACTTTTGAGGACTCTGTGATTACATTGGACCCACCCATTCATCCACGGTGTCGGCCTATCTCGAAGTCAGCTGATGAACAATCCTAATTCCATCTGCAACCTTAATTCCCATTTGTCATGTAACCTGACATATTCTCAGATTCCAGGGGTTAGGATGCGGACCTCTCTGGAAGGCTATTCTGTCTACCACACAGGATGAAGCATTTTGAGGATTACACTTCAGACAGACACTTTTCCTTCTCTCTTTTTCCTTTTCCTTTTTACCTGGCTTTAACATACTGTTCATTGAGGTCTGGGCAAAAGAAATGACTCTTTTCTTTCCTGGCCCTAAGTCAAGCCATGCAAATTAATTAGGGGCAAAAAAAACCCATGATCTTTTTATTTCCCTCCCTCCTGGTATTTCTCTGGCCAGCATCTCAGAAGCAGCCCCACTGGGCCCACAGTGATCCAGGTAGTGATGCTGTTACAGTCCCCTGGGACTCAAGAGTGCTCTCTGTGTACTACTGATGAATGATTCAGGAGGGTATTCATGAACCACAAGGTATGCGTGAGAGGGGATCATTTTCTTGGTAATAATTTTTTCCTTCTTCATTTAAGGAAACTCGAGGGAGCCATTTATTTAATCATTTTGGGACATCTTTCTGCTCTTTTTATGTCTGAACACGCGTCAGTGACCCCTATTAGATATACACTTCCCTGAATCAAATGAATGTCCCGGAAACCATTCACAGAGCAGGAAACTCCCAGTTATTATTCTGAGTGTAAGTATCAGAGGGGGAGGAAGTTATGAGAAAATAATTAGTAAAATGTGAGTAAATAGCAATCTACTCTAATTTCATTCCAAGCCAGCTTGCATGCAAATAAGATGAACCAGCTTATAGAATTGTAGAGATTCTTTACATCAAATGCAAAGAACTTTTTTCTCCCATATGTCCTCAGAATTGCACCTTTGACATAAACTCTGTTGTTGTTTTTTCACTAAGATTTTAACTTGCTTTACATCTAGTACATTAGCTACTTTACCCTGACAGTTTTGTATAATCCTATTGAATTAAGGAAGAGAAGGCAGTGAAATTTTCCCTTTCTGATTCATGAGTAGATCCACAGAAAGAAGAGTTAACTCACCCAAGACCACACTGTGCATCAGCTTGGACCACTTCTTGGATCTCTTCACTCCCTATCCAGAGTGCCATTCATTCTCTGAATGCATTCTTCGTCTGATTTTGTTTAGAGTCTACTAACAGCTCAGCTACTCCTAACTCACATGTAATGATTCTAAGATTCTTTGACTCAGCTTTGTAGAACCTTACCACAAGGTGCTGAAAATCACATGCTGAGTGGGTGGATGAACCCAGAACTTAACTGTTAGTTTCTCTACTTGACATCCAATACTGACCTGGTTTTGAAAAGGAAAGGCATTGAACCTGAGTGGATGAATGCATAATTAAAACAACTAGAAAAAAAATTCCCTCCTGATATTTACATTTTAGTCCTGTTCGGTACACTCAGTTCTCGATTTAATTCAATCACAGGAATTTTAAAGTTTTTTTGTTTTAAGGAAGTTTGTTTTGTGGAACACTGAGATGTCATTTACTCCCTTCCATTGGCAAAAAAAAAAAAGTTTCCTCTCTATTCAATCTAACACATAAAATAGAGATATGTAGGGGCGCCTGGGTGGCTCAGTCAGTTAAGCGTCTGCCTTCGGCTCAGGTCATGATCCCAGGGTCCTGGGATCGAGCCCCGCATAGGGCTCCCTGCTCCGTGGGGAAGCCTGCTTCTCCCTCTCCCACTCCCCCAGCTTGTGTTCCCCCAGCTGTGTCTCTCTGTCAAATGAATAAAAAAATCTTTAAAAAAAAAATAGAAATATATGTAGGATCCTTTTAAATCCTGGCTGGTCAGGAACAAGTTCCGAAGTTGAATAATAAAGGTTGAATGAAACATTTTTATTTTCTGGAACAAATTTATGTCATTCAATAAAGGAAGTATTTTTATTGCAAGTTTTGTGGACTAAGGCCAGGTATTTTATTTTTGATTCAGTCTCCACTTCCCTGGGCAGAATGTTGGCTGCGGAGATAAAGCCAAGTAAATAATCTTAACGACTCCGTGGGATTGCCCACACATCTTCCCATGCTCAAGACACCTATGTCAAGAGTGGTTGTGAGGAGTAAATGAGGATTAAGTTATAATAAAAGCACCTTGCATCGTGCCTGGCACCTGGGAGATGCTGAATAAAGGGCCCTCAGAGCTGACTCATTTGGATACTTGATCAGTTTGGAAAGGAAGGAACCCTTTTGCTTCTAGTGATTATAATTACGGGTTCCTCTGTCATACAGTTTCTGCTTTTCGTTTCTGGACTGGCTTTGTGCTGATTCCTTTATCCAGATGTTCCCTCCTTCTTTGTGCAAGAAGTATATAGCTCGGCCATATTGCTGTCACTGCCAGGAATGAAAAGCTGGGCACCCAAAAGTGGTCTCTTTCTGGAAGCCAGCTTCACCAGACACTCTCTCAGCCAGATCCTTCATCTGGCTGATGTAGTCACATTTGAAATTCTTAAACCAGAGCTCTTACCTACAAAATTCTACACACAAAAAGTAGTAACATTTACTAGTTTATTTTGCCATTTTTTCCCATATGGAAGAGGCCATCTGACTTTTCACTTGCTTTTTTGTTTGGGGTAGCCAATACCAAATGGTGTTGTATCTCTGAGTTCATATCCATTAGATTCAACACACACAAGTGATGGCCATCACTAGTGGAAAAACTGATTGCAGATATATTCATTTCCTAGAGCTGCCATAACAAAGCTCCACAGTTCTGGAGGATAGAAGTCCAAAATCAAGGTGTTATCAGGCCTTTGCATCCTCTAAAGGCTCCAGGAAAGTATCCTTCCTTGCTTCTCTCCTGGCTTCTAGTCATTGCCCATAGTGCTTGGCGTTCCTTGGCTTACAGCTACATGACTCCAACTTCTGCCTGTCTTCATGACTGGCTTCTCTATATGTATGTGTCTGTGTCTCTGTTTTCTCTTCTCATGAGGACACCAGTCATGGATTCGGACCCACCCTAATCCAGTAGGACTTCATTTTAGCTCATTACATCTGCAAAGACCTTATTTCCAGATAAGATCACATTCTGAGGTCCCAGGTGGACATGAGTTTTTTGTGAGACACTGTTCAACCTAGTACTGGGGCATTACTGAATTAGTTTCCTCATGGTGCTGAGCATTTAGACTCATGTCCTCCCAGGCACTCATGCCAGTAAATGAATAAATACTATGTGTCTAGGGGACATGTATCTGCAAGAGTCATGCACATGGTCTCTGGCCTTGGGACCAAGTGCAGTCTGATTGGAAAGAAAGGATACATATGGTTGAAAAGATGACCAAATGTATCTTTGGTCTTGCTCAGAGGAACTCCCCCTGCCCTTTCCCTTGGGAGGTGGGGTTGCCTCCATGCAGGCATGCATCCTGGCTGGTGGTAATATGCATGCACCTGCCCTGCATCAGCACTGCATGGGGCACACACCCTCAGCCACTGCAAGGTGGGCCTTGAGTATTGAGATGTCCAATCCCGTCACATGCAACCCTTCTGTTGCAGCTGGACTCAAAAGACCCAGCAATTCCCTCCAGTGACCTTCAGAAATGATGGGCTTACTGGAATAGGTGACCACAGAGCCTTGGGAAGAGCCAGCACAATGACAGAGCCAGGCTCACGGAGGTGGGAATGGGACAATTCCAGGACCCATAGGAGTTCTGGGGCCTTGGCTTGGGAGAGAGTGGGGGTTCTTACCTGTGTGTTCTGACTGTATGTGCCAGGTACATCCACAC